TTTACAAAGATTTTCCAAAAAAAGATACATTTAAAAATGTGTTAATCCTTGTTTGAATAAGTCCTGACCGTTTCATTATTTGTATTTTTTGCAAGAATTTCCAAATCAATACGTTTTGCACCTCATAAAGACAAAAATGGCCGAATACAAATATTGTATATAATGAAAACTCATCCCAGAAATTCAAACACCAATATATAGCTCTTATTTCTGCTATTGCTATATGAAGATAAAATCCCAAACTGTATACACCTTAACCAATCATTCATTACCTTATATGAATATAAATGAAACTTCATATAAAGTCAGCCCTTGTCTGTTGTATTCAATAATACAATGTATAATATTAAGAAATGCGGAATTAATGAAAAAATCGTTCTGAGAGTTGCAACAAAGCTTAGGAAAATATGGTGAAAGAAATAATAAACACATAAAAATTATGAATTTGTTCATAATCATCTGTCCCATGACAAGTTGTTGTTATAGGGTCGGTGCACAAATGAGCACTTGAACAGATCCCTCTACATATCTCTATAGTTATTTATTCACGCGTAACATACCTTGAGTAAAGTAGACCTAGCGGAAACCATTCCTCTCTATGTCAGACTACGGCCGATATCCTCCAATTTGAAGGCTCAACTTGGTCACGAACTCCATGGCCGTTCATTTCTACCTCTTAACCAAAGCCGGGTCATCAACATATTTACATATATACATATGACATATATTGTTTTTACTTGGTCGAAGCTTTCTGTAGCTATTGTCTCTCGGTCATCTTTGATGAAAATCTTAACATGAAGTTGTCGCCTATTTCGGTAACAGAGGCGATAAACTAAGGGAAAAAGGTTTTATTGTTTCATGTAAATCAAAACTAACATCACACATGATAATTGTTAGTAGTGTAAGATTTCAAAACGCGGTCAGATTCTTATACTATAATAAAAAATATCTTCTCTCTGCCGTGTCACTTCAGGTCGTTGAGGATCATGACTCTTCACATTTTCCCGTACGCTGTAACTTTTAATGAAATTTATTTTTTTTGATATATTCTCTAAACCCTACTTCATAAAATTTTGTGATGCAATATTGTGTTTGACGTGTGTTTATTCATGGAAAGGGATTTATCATAATACCTTCGAATTATTCCCTACGTAACAATGATTTTCTGTTTAAATTAGGGTGGCATTTATAAAATCAAAGTTATAGCCAACAGAGAGCTAGCCATCACGCATAAACAGATTGTCTATCACACACACACATAGACAGACACAAATGAATATACATTATCAACCGAATCCAGCATAGACAACATACATTCTTGATATACTACCACGAATACATTTACACTGCTTTACAAGACAAAATGAATGCAATGACTGCTTAATCAATGAAAACAAACAACAGAAAAATAAAAAAAATATCAGAATGTTTTTCAATTATTTCTTCACTTCACTCCAAATCTCGTTTTATGATGATGCGTTAATAAAGGCAAAACAGGTTAGATTTATAAACGTTTCCTATCTTTTCATTATCCTATCATTCTGTTATATATATATATATATATATATATATATATATATATATATATATTATGTATGCGTTCATATACATACACACACAGATATATATATATATATATATATATATATATATATATATATATATATATATATATATATATATGTATATATATATATATATATATATATATATAATATTATCAATTTTCAAATTTAAAATATGGTAACATTTGACACAGTAATTACCATGTTTCAAAAACAGACGCTAAAAAATTTTAAATTCACAATATATATATATATATATATATATATATATATATTATTATTATTATTATTATTATATTTGGAATGACTTATTTCAAAATAATTTATTCCAAAATTCGCTTGAAAATGAAACAAAACTAGGGACTTTAATTTAATTCTATAATTGAATTTGAAGATTTTAGCTTCTTTTTTGAAACATGGTAATTCCTATGTAGCGATTGAACCATATTTTTAAATTAGTAAATTTATAATATTTATTCTCTGTAGATTTTCATTGAGCCCTTTTAAAAAAAATAAAAATAAATATTAATACGAACACCGGATTATATATCTTTCTGTTCTTTTCTATATTATATATATATATATATATATATATATATATATATATATATATATATATATATATTGATACATGTTTCATTAAATAATATAGACAAGTGTTGTCTATTTATTTTATGTAAATTCTTTTGATACCGTCTGATAAGCTTAATAACATTATCATTAAACGAAGAAAGAAAATCTTAATATTGATACATATTTTTTTAATTCTATCTAAGCGTTCGGCTTACATAAGGCACTATCAAAGATGTCAAGTACATTTCAATATATTAAGTAACACAATGATGATAGTTTGTTTCTATTTACATGGATGATTTCAAATCAACGACAAACTCGTGCATACAAGACACTGGAAGCGAATATCGCACCGCAGCTCATGACGTCACACATGACCACGCGAAAGTGAATTGTGTATGCGGCCAGGCATGTTGTTTTAAACGTCTAAAAATGTTAGACTTATCATTCAAATGTAGTGTCAAGCGTCGTGGAAGCGAGTTTGTGGTGTGACCAACATAAATATTATTTAATTCTTTGGAGATACAATCTCCCAAATAGCACTTGAATTTGTAAACTATGTTGTTGTTTTTCAAATATCTCTCTATATATAAAGGGTGTTCCAATAACTTGGACAGATTATAAATGTGAATGAAGTTTAAGCAACTAATGATTTTTTTCTTTTTCTTTCAGATTTAGCAACAAATCTGTGGCAATTTCAATCATGGAAAATGTTCGTAAATTCAAACAAACTGGCTCGGTGCCAGTTGTTTAAACGCCATTGTGTGCTCGTTTACACCGTTCAGCTGAAAACATTTCTGCAGTGCACGTGAATGTGGCCGAAAATCCAGACACCTCACATCGCGCGCAGGAAAAGAACCTCACCACAACAACGTTATATCCTTTCCAATTGCACTCCTGTTTGGTCAGCCAAAAAATCGAGAAACTTTAATATGTTGTTTGATTGTTGAACTTTCCATGATTGAAAGTGCCAAAGACTTAAGTTATTAAATCTGAAAGAAAAAGCAAAAAAAAAAAAAAAAACAAAACTATATCATTAAACGCTTAAAATTAATTCAACACCTTTATATATATATATATATATATATATATATATATATATATATATATATATATATATATATATATATATATATTGTACTAATTTGAAATAGTGTTTTTGAAGTCAAACTTGCTGTTTTGTCAGTGGTTTGCTGATAAGGTGTCATTTCAAGCAAGCGGGCTTTGTGGTAGTGCTCAATACGCACACACACATACAAACGCGCACACACAAAGAAACACAAACACACACATATATATATATACATACATATATACATACATACTTATATATATATATATATATATATATTGATAATATTAGTGGTCAATGTATATATATATATATATATAAATATATAAATATTTATACATATTTATATAAATAAATTCCCAAGAGGATAGAATCCAGGTAGAACTCAATGCCCAGGACAGAGTAAGAATATAATATAAAAGAACTTTAATACATTTCCCTCTCACTCTTGTTTCCCACACCTACATTCTCACTAAAATTTTGTTTTTTATACCAGGAGTTATATTTTCCAATTTCTTTTTGAATTTGTAGGTCTGATGAATTGTATCTTGATTACGATTCCAGTGTAATAAATTATAACAATGGAATACTATTGTTTGAGTTTTTTTATTATATATATATATATATATATATATATATATATATATATGCATCCGTTTATATTGCCAGATACTGATAACGACCAATTTTGTCAAAATTCCGTCTTTTTGTGGTAAGACTGAAGTGGCCTCTCAATGGCGTAGGTCTAGGCGATTGTATTTAGAGGCCATGCGTATTCAGACCACATGGCCACATTTTCGGTGCAACCGACAAGATCCAAAGGAATACATCACATTATATTTTGGATCAGCGGTTTGGCTGCAAGAGATACAGGAATTTTGTCAGTGTGGACAACCAACCGCTATCGGGGCTCCACTACAGATTTTCTGTCTGAATTAAATTACACAGTATTTTCTGTATTTGGATATGATAGGGGGAGCGTGGGGGTTAAAACATGGATTCCTTTCACCGAAACTGACTGATTTAACTGATATATATATATATATATATATATATATATATATATATATATATATATATATGGCTATAGATAATTCTTCGTTCTCTGTATCACCTATTTTATTATGTTACCTCACGATGCCTGAAGTAGATGTTAGCAATATAATATAGTGGTTGAAATTTTCGGAACATATGCCATACTTTTACCTCGTTACAAATAACATCTAACGGCAGTCAGGCAAAATGTTATGTGACATGAAAATGCGTACGAAGCTGAGTGGTGCTATTGAATATCTTTGCCGGAAAAGAAAACTGCATTCGTTTCTTACTTAATATTTACGAATACTAACGGTGAGTGAGATCACGGTTAGGTTGTGAGTACAGTTTTTTCAGCAAAAATGCGGGTAGCTGAAAGCGACGGTTAAAAATTGATCGACAAGCTAATTTGACTATTAAAATAAAATATGTAATAATTTCTGATATTTTAACAGGCAAACAATACGGAAAATAGTAAAAATTTCGGTAGTTATTACTAAAAGCTGAATAAAACCGTTGGAGATTCTGGATTATTTCAATTTAGAATCTATGAGCGTAAGTTGTAAATATTCTCTTACCTGTTTTATTTCTTAGTTATTTATTTGAGGAAACTATTTTATGCGTTGATTTCCTTTGAAATTGTCAGATTTATAAAGGTAAACCGTGATGACTAAGCAACAACAGCAGAGAAATTCTACAATTAACTTGCTAATTACTTATTCCAAAACTTAATACTAAAGAAAATAGTGAATATTTTACATCGCGTACAGGTTAGCCTGGGCTATGAAACAAGGTGAATGAAGAACAAACTGGTTCAGTGACATCTTAAGGGAGAGAGAGAGAGAGAGAGAGAGAGAGAGAGAAATAGAGAGAGAGGAAAAAGAAAGAAAGTGAGAGAGAAAGAAAGAACGAAAGTGAGAAATAAATAAATAAATAAAGAAAAATGAAATAAAGAGAGAAAGAAAGAGATAGAGAGAAAGAAAGAAAAAACGAAAGAGGGAAAGAAAGAAAGAGAGAGGTAAAAAAGAAATAAATAAATAAAGAAAGAAAGAATGAAAAAAGGAAGAGAGAGAGAAAGAAAGACAGAAAGAGTAAGAAAGAAAGAAAGAAAAAGAAAGAAAGAAAAGAAAAAGAAAGAAAGAAAGAGAGAGAGAGGAAAAAGAAAGAAAGTGAGAGAGAAAGAAAGAACGAAAGAGAGAAATAAATAAATAAATAAAGAAAAATGAAATAAAGAGAGAAAGAAAGAGATAGAGAGAGAGAAAGAAAGAAAAAAAGAAAAAGAGAAAGAAAGAAAGTAAGAAAGAAAGAATTAAAAAAGGAAGAGAGTGAGAAAGAAAGACAGAAAGAGTAAGAAAGAAAGAAAGAGAGAGAGAGAGAGAAAATATTGACTCGATAGGATCTGAAGATATATTGAAAATTTCTTTGCTCTAGCTTCTTTCCAAATCTGACTAAACAAAAGATTATCTTTTATTTTCTTTATTATTCTTCGACCAATTCATGGTAATTTCTAAAGTAATGTTTATTATTATTATTATTATTATTATTATTATTATTATTATTTATTAATTTCGACATATTTTATCACTTTAAACGAGATTTTCAGGGGATACCAATATTTGAGTAAACGCTCTGTTTATTTATTAACCAGTATATTTATCTATATTCGTCTACCGGTCAGACCATTCAAGAAGTCTTATTAAAGAAAAATGTCCGCTATCCAGCAGAATTCGAACCTGCGTCCGCCTGTGCAGAGGAAACCGTCTTTCCGAGAAACACTCAAAGTATTTAGTTGCATGAAATGGCGTAAAGGGGGTAAATAAACCGTATGCCTATTATGGCAATATTATTGTTGACATTAGACTTAAATAACTTAAGATTTTAGTAGAAGCATCCTCTCGGGAGCATGCCTCACGAAGTAACACTTCTGGGGAAGAATATTCATCCTTACCAATAGAATACAAATGAGAATGAGATGATCCTATACAGGTGGCATGGTAGATCCTATTTGTGAAAGCCTGAACTAGTGGTAATAATGAGTGTAGCTCATCTGAATATTTGCAGTGAAAATAGCGATAGAGTAGCGAGTGGCTAGCAAGCTTTCGTCTGTGGCAAAGGGGTTTAATGCTTTTGATCCCCGTGAAGACGGGACAATGAGAACTGGGCAGTTCCAGTTTTACGAGCATTTTCATCAAATCCTCGCATAGCAAAAACAGACACAAGAATATTAAGTTTTAAAATTATTATCACTGGATCATTTTGTTTCTGGAAATATCTAGGAAACATTTCAGAAAAAAAAAAGATTAACTTTCTGCTTTAGACAGATCTCCCAAAAGAGATGAGAGTAATTCTAATCTCATTAACACTTAATTGCTGACAAGAATTAAAGGAAAATGAAGACGTTAAAACAGTCACTAGCATATAAAAAAATAATTGGATTAAAATTCTAGAATTTTTTTGATTATTGAATTAATACTTATATTTGAAAAGATGGATGTCTTATTAATTTTGTCTTATATTTATTTACATCTTAATTTTTTTTCTTTTTTTACAATTTGTTACAATAAGAGTAAACATCGCAGGTTGGAACTTAAGGATAAGATTTGTGATTTGAACTCATGTTGCTCTCGCCTCGTAATATTTTGGTCAAACACAGCAGCTGTTTTAAGCGCTAACCACGAGATTTTCAATGTTCTGCAGAAAATGAAGGCAAAACAGCAAATACATTATTTCTTTCTCCGATCTTTATTAAATTCATGTGTTTATGATATTTGTTTCATTTTTAATTGTTTTTTCCATGATTGTCATTTATTCTGGATTACTATTTGCAGTCATCTTCATTTTTTATTAGTTGAAACATTGCCAACCATTATGTCCAACTTTGACTAGTATTTACATTCATCTTCATTTTAATTGAATGAAGGATTTGTCTGTGGTTATTCAATTTCGATTATAAGTTAATTTTATCAATATTTTTATTATACGAAGCCTTCTAGATCGTTTTTTTCTTAGTATTTGCTTTCATCTTCATTTTGCAGTAGATGAAGAATTGGCAGCCATAACTATTAATTTTTGACGAGTATTTACTTTCAACTTCATTTTTATTGGATTAACTGTTGTCGATCATTATTAATTTTGGGCTAGTATGTACTTGCATCTTCAGTTTTTATTTTTTGAACCATTAAATACCATTGTTAATTTTTGACTAGTGTTCATTTCGTCCTCATTTTTTTATTAGATGAAGTATCGTTAATCATTCTTCTTCTTCTTCTTCTTCTTCTTCTTCTTATTATTATTATTATTATTATTATTATTATCATTATTATTATTATTATTATTTTTGTTTTCTTTGATTTCTGGCGTTTACACATTTCTTTCCGGGTCCCGCCCAGGGACCTAAGGTTAGAAATGGCATCATGACACTTTCCACTGACAAAAAACAAAACAAAAAACATTTACATAGATAAAGCCCTTCGTAAAGTGTGGGCTGTATTTATCACAACAATTTTGTGTATCTCTTTGAGGCATGGGCTTCCAGGAATCCCTTCAATTAGTCTACTGTTATCTTTTCCAACCAATCCTAGGGCCCCAACTACAACAGGGATCATTGATGTTCCCATATGCCACATTTTTGAGATTTCTATTTCAAGGTCCTTGTATTTTGACAGCTTTTTGAATATCTTCAAAGATACATTGCAGTCAGTGGGGACTGCCATATCAATAAGGAAACACTTTTTTGTTTGTGGTCTTATTATTATTATTATTATTATTATTATTATTATTATTATTATCCATTGGATACTATTACACTTTTATTTTTAGTTTATTTTTTTTTCGTAACACTACTAGGGCCGACAGTCGACAGCATCTCGTAGATAGACCGAGATTGGAAATAAAAGATAATTTAGCGAAAAACTTTCATTCGTTTTACTTTAGTCATATTTCTATTTTGTTTCAAACATTTCTCTTATTTCTAAGTTGAATCCCCTTTCTTTCTGCTTTACTCATTTTGTCATTTCTCTTTCTGTCTCCGTGCAGAAAAGAGTAGACAATAATCCTTTTAAAACCTTCCCTTCTGCCATGATATAGCTTTCCTTCTGAAAATCTCCACAAGGACAAATGCAAGGATCATCTGACGCCCCCTCCTTCAATTCATCTTTTTCTACCGTAGCTCACCTATTCTCCCTCTTATTCCTATTATCTCTCTCTTTCTTTCCCTCTCTCTACTGTTCATCTTGTCCCTCCCAATTCTCCTACGAGTCATTCTCGTTCACCGTCTAATCGACCGGCGGCGTCATGATCGCCCTTTGCCGGACTCACCTATCACATGCGCTAAGACTTCTCTGACATTTTTCCCGCCCATTTACCCCACTTCATCCATACCTCCTTCTCACTTTTCCTCTTTTTTTTCTTCATTCCTGGTCATCCAGACCAAAGAATAGCCGAGTTGTGTCAACCCTTTCCCAATCCTAGAACAGACCAACGCTGCAATCTCTTTTGACGAACTGGGCGGATTACCCCCGATCTCCAACTGCGTTAGCAATATTTTTTCCCCTTTTACATGATTGTATTATCTTTCATTCATTCATTATGTCTTTCTTTTTTTTTCTTCTCTCGTTCTTTGTTTGTTTGTTTGTTTCTTTTTTATTTTCTATTAGTTTTTATTTTTCATCTCCTTTTTTTTCTTATTTCTTTCCTTTCGTTTCTTCTAGAGATTTTTTTATTTGTTCTGTAATACGTTATATATTTCTTTCTTTCTTTCTTTCTTTCTTTCTTTATTTATTTATTTATTTATTTTCTATTAGATATTATTTTTCACCTCCTTTCTTTCTTATTTCTTTTCTTTCGTTTCTTCTCCAGAATTTTTTTTATTTACTCTTTAATATGATATTATATATTTCTTTCTTTCTTTCTTTCTTTCTTTCTTTCTTTCTTTCTTTCTTTATTTATTTATTTATTTATTTATTTAATGTTTGCTCTCTTTTTTCTAACAAATGTGAATATATTTTCACCATCGCATTTTCTTTTTAAAATACAAATTCGTCCATTATTTGTTTCAACACAGATTCCACTTCCCTCCTTATGCTGAAGATATATTCTCGCTTATTGCTAAGTCTTGCTTCCTTTTAAGATTAAAATATTTTTCATAGTCTAGCCTTCTTAGATTTTAAATATCTTTTTGTGTTATTCCTTTATTTCTATTTACCTTACTTAACTCATATACTCAGGGCGTCAGTTTAAACTCAACACTTTACTTTTTAATATATCTATATATATTATCTATATCATGAGAATAAAACTAGAAGGATTTTAAGCGAAGTTTTACTGGAATGATTTGGAAAATTTAAAAAATTTCCATCTGAAATCAAGAAAATACAAACCTTAAGCAAAATAGTCACAATAACTAGAAAAATGAAAATGTATGTTAAACTGACAACAAAAAGCTAACCTCTATATATCATTAAATATAAATCAATATTATATTTATATATGCATATACATACATACATAGATATACATGCATAAATTGCGTATATTTTGGCAGCATTTATTCACTGGGACATTTTTCATTGAATAATTCAGACAAGTTTTGTTTGCTTATTTTCATTTAGATCTTTTCATATTCACGGACTTTTTGGTGTCGTTATGAAAGGACGAGAGAAAATCGTCGTGTTGATATATATTATTTATTCCGAGTACTTTCGACATAGCACAATGTCATCATCAAGTTGCTGTTTACTGCAAGACAAATATTGTAGTGTTCATTATTTTCAAAGACATAATTATTGTGTTTCTCTAAAAGATAGATTTCTTATTTATGGAATGAATTACACTGAATGATCTCTTGACACCGCTTCAGGGGAGGTATCTAAGTATGTATATATAAATGAATATATATATATACATACATACATATATATGTAACGGTCAGTCTATACGCAGCACCTGAAAATTGCGTTGTGCATGAAACTCTTAGTCGTGCTTTCTTGCGTCAGTGGGTGAACATAAATTAGTGGGAAATTTTAACGTCCTTTTTGCATTGAAAAACGCACTGATTTGGAAATTCTTGCAAAAAAGAAATAAAAATCAGATAGGTGCCAGATTTTAATTGAACTTTCAGGGCTTATTCACAAATGAATTAAATTATTTTTAATGTAGCTTTTTGAGAAAATCTTGTAAAAATACGTTTTTTTCATTTGTTACCGCTGCGCATACACACACTAAATGTTATGAAATTTCGAGAAATTCTTTTTTGTTGGCTTTAATAATTATATTGATTATGAGCGCAATTCCTCGAAGAATTTTAATCAGGACCGCCCAATTACAAATAATCATCCCTGAAAAAATAAAAAAATAAAAACTAAGACATTAATTATGTAATTAGAAGTGCTTTAATTGTTTGTGTGTATAAAATTGTAATTATAAATTTGAATTAAAATTTATTTTGTATTAATTTGTAGCGGTAAAGTGATATTGATATTAAATTAAGATTATTTACTGGATATACATCTAAAAGCTCACTACAATTCAACGGCCGTCAATATTCTTTTTTAAAAAGTTAATGTATTTTATATCTGTATGAACGTGTAGATTTTTTGCAAATAAGTTTACCCAAACGTAACATTATCAGAAAATAAGAGCGAAATCTAGCAAAGATTTCTTGTTAATTTTCTAAGATTTCCTCAGAAAAACGTCTTTCTAAGACTATAAATCCAATTAAATATTAGAGTATTAGAATTTTTTCTTAATGTTTAAAGTGTACTGGGTAGTTTAAAACTTTAAATTAAAAAGCGTTCACGTTATATTCGTCAAGTATTTGTTACACTTATGCCCACTTCGAAAAAGTTTCCCACACATAAGTCCATCGATAAATATGTCAACACTTCATAAAACTCTCACTTCTGTGGTAAAAATGCTTTTCTGCGATATTCTTAACTAAAAGTATCTTATATTTGTTGGAAATCAGATTAATTAAAATTTAAATCAGCTAATGTTCCATCATAGTTTCAGAAAAGTATATTTTAGTTTTGAAAGATATTTTAATAAAGAGAATTACGTTGTATTGTCAGATTTGTCAATAGGGACTATATATATATATATATATATATATATATATATATATGTGTGTGTGTGTGTGTGTGTGTGTGTGTGTGTGTGTGTGTGTGTGTGTGTGTGTAAACTGTAAGCTAAAAATTTGAAACTACTTGGTGGATTTCGTGGAATCGTCTAAAAATCGAAAAGCCGCGTGCAGTTTTTTAAATTAATTTACAAGCAAACTTCGGGTTAAGTCAAACCGACGTTCTTTTTCCTATAAACTACTACTACTACTACTACTACTAACGACAACAACAACAATAAAAGTATCTCATCTTTGCATAAATGTTCCTTAAAATTTTTGCACATTTCCTAATCTCTCTTGCTGTCTAATGACAATCTTGGTGCTGGCGGATTGTAAAATTTAGGTCGTCCGTCTATAAAGAAAATAAACGCCATTAAACTGGGATTAAATACTTTCAACTTTCTAGCTTAGTCTGAGTTAATAAAACCAAAGAAATAGTGGAGTAATGGATAGCGGCTTGGATTGAGAAATCGGAGAGATGGCAAGTGGTCTACTGCAGTAAGAAATGGCAACCCATTGCGGGAAAAAATCTGCTTCGTCATTAATGTATCGAAAGATACATGATCGCCGAAGCGTGTATCACGCATGACACATAACTAACTAAATTATTACATCCAGAGGATGTTTACAAATAGTGTATATATAAAAAGTGGGAAAATAAATTCGTGTGGCACATTTCCTACTTTAGAAAATCATCTTGTTACTTTAGAGAAATTTCAAGGCATTTAAAAAAAATATGACATGAAAACAAAAGGAGTATCTTAAAAAAACACACACACAATGCATTAATTGCTTACCATAATGCGTCTAAAAAACGCTACTTTATTTAAAAGAGAATACGATTTACAAAGATGAAAACATAAAGAAAATCGCAAGATTATCGACAGTAAATTTATTTTCAGTTTCTTACAACATTTGATCTTTATTGGCAAATCTATTACTACAATGTCGGATATATAATGACAAGGGATAAAAGCGTGAAAATAGAAATTAATGTATGGAATTTACTAACATCTGTGAATTGATAAGTCCCAAAAGAAATCTGTGGATGGAAACATTAATTTCATATTATTAGGACTAATTGTATAATATATTTTCGGATTATCATATATATATATATATATATATATATATATAAATAAATAATATTAGTGGTATATATATATATATATATATATATATATATATATATATATATATATATATATGTATTATAATAAAAAAAAAAGAACAGTAAGATATATAATCCGATGATATTTGTATTTTTACAAAACAGTGCCCAAGGTAAATTTACAGACCCTAAATATAAATTAACTGATGTAAAATATGGTATCTTCGCTACACAGGAATTACCATGTTTCAAAAACCGTAGGTAAATATTTCAAATTTAAATATAATTAAATTAAAAGCATTAGTTCTGCTTCACCTTCAATATATATATATATATATATATATATATTCCCAAGCGGATAGAATCCAGGTAGAACTCAATGCCCAGGACAGAGTAAGAATATAATATAAAAGGCTCAAACACTAATATTCCATGGTATAATTTATTACATTAGTAAGGTTAGTAATGCAAAGCAAATAACCAAAAGGTGATATTACTTGTTTTGTCTAATTATTCTTGATTACACATCATTTCTCTTAGAAATGTCCTCGTTCTTAGTTTGCGCCCACCACCTCTTTTTTCACCCTCTCTCTCATCTTCTCTTCTCTTTTCTTTTATACATAAGGTTAGTAATGCAAAGTAGACGGAAAATTTTCACATAGGCTTCGCTAGTATGAATTGGCTGGATTTTAAGTTTAGATCACATCGCTTTTTTATTGTGCGTAGTATCACCACAAATGTATCCACACGTTTCCGGTGTCGGTTTTTCAATTTTAATTTCAGGTCAGCGAATCGGTAGTGATTTATACATCTGAAAATAATTCATATTTATCTGTATCTCACTCATTTAAACCCTTATTTAACTCATCTCTTTAAAACTTCTCTCTGTTAAATTTTAATCCCCACCTTCAACTTTAGGCCTTCCTGTTCTTTCTTCTGTTACACCCTCTCTCTAGAGCTTACATACATTTCCCTCTCACACTTGTTTCCCACTCCCACACATACACTTTCAATAAAATTTTGTTTTTTATACCCGGAGTTATATTTTCTGATATCTTTTTGAATTTGTAGGTCTGATGAATTGTATCTTGATTAGGATTCCAATGTAATTAATTATAACCATGGAATATTA